ATATATCAATCTTTTCGCCTCAATACGAAGAACCCGAATCCACTTTGACCCGACCCCAAGCGGGAGTGGACCCCACTAATAATTGTATCACAAAATAGCCACTTAAAATGTTATTTATGCTATTTTTTCCAATAATTAATAACCACCATCTTCATCATCTTAAATAACAAACCCTAGTTTCTTCCATAAGTTATCGGCGCCGCCCGAAGCTTGTGGAGAAGTGACGGCGCCGCCTGAAGGTGGGAAGACAGCAACGGCAATGGCGCCAAGGATCGGAGTCACATGGATGATGAGCTCCACCGCCGGAACCTAGCATCGTATCCGCCGTCTTCTCTCATCACATCTCCTACTCCATTGTAAGGATAGCTTTCTTCTCGAACCATTTTGTTTGGATTATATTCTTGAACAAGGTGCGATAGCTTTTATTATTTAATAATAATATAATTATTATTGTTATTAAAGAATTGTATAATATTCACACCGTGTCATTTTGTCTGTCGTATTTTCTATTCATTAGTCAACTCAATTCTTTATTCTTTGTTTATTTTTTTTTATTATTTTTAATTATTTTTAAATTTAAATTTTTGTGTTTTATAGTACTTTTAATGTAATTTCTAGATATATAAATTTTATGTATTAATACTAAACTTAATGTTATAAAAAATTAAATTCAAAATAATTTCAATCAAACTTTGTTAACCAACCTATAAAATAGGATGGAAGGAGTAATATATTATAGGGATAATGGTCAAATAGACCTTTCAACTATAGGCCAAAATGCAATTAGCCCATTAAACTAACAAAAGCTCTAATTAGACCCTTCATATTTTCACTTTTATGCAATTAAGTTAATTAACATGTTACATCTAAGTCACAGGTAATTTTTTTTTTTTTTAAATTTTAAAAATTAATTAAAATAAAAAAATATTTTTAATTCAAATAAATTAGATAATATGACCGGATAATAGCCTTCAACTTGCACTATCTCTCCACCTCCACCGCTGCCTCCTCCAGCTCTCTTCATCCCCGCAGCTTTCTTCCCACCGCTTCCCTTCGCATCTTCAGTTTTTTCGAGGCGGCTATTCACGTCATTTCCATGGTGCTGACGATAAAGAGCTTGAAGATTCTGCAGATTATTGTTCTTGAAGTTGGGATTTTGTGACAGTCCAGAAGGGAAAATCTATAGGGTCATGGCTTCTTCGTCCAGAAGGCCACCTGTAAGTTTGTAACGGTGAGGCTTCCTTCAATAACCGAGTTTACTTTATTGGATTACAAACATCTAACGGGGCGTTTGGTTGGTGTGAGGGAATTACGTGGGACAGGAATTGCAATTCCATGGGAGATGACTTACTGGAAATGAAGTCGGAATTTAAATTCTAGTATTTAGTTCACAGGAATAAAATTATTGGGAATGAAGTCGGAATTTAAATTCTAGTATTTGGTTTACAGGAATAAAATTATTGGGAATTTCAATTCCAATGTTTGGTATACATGAGAATTGAAAAGGAATAAGTAGTATAAAGTCCAAAATGCCCATTGTTATTGTTCGACATCAATTTTAGGTTAAAAGGGATAGGAGTAATTTTGTCTCCTCATTATCTTTTTTTTTTTTCTTCCTAAAATCCATGGAATTAAAATCCCAAGGGGGGATGGGGGGGGGGGGGGGGGGGGGCACGGGATTTTTAATCCATGAAAATGAGGGAATTGCAATTCCTTCCAACCAAACTAAAGAATTTAGTGCCCTTTGGAATTATGTGGGAATGAAATTTAAATTCCTTCCAACCAAACGCTCTGTAATTAATTCTACATCTAGTATTTTTCTATAGCTTCAAGCTCGGGTTATGCCATGGAACCGTGTTCACCATTCATGGTGAACACGGTTCCAACGGTATTAGTACACCGTTATCTTTTTTTTTTTTGTTTTTTTTTTCTTAATTAATTGCGTGACTTTTCTTCTTTATTTTCACATTTTGCGGTTTCACTTTAATTTGAGGTGAACAAAGATTTCGGACATTCATAAATTATGAATTCATGACTGCACATTCACTTTGGAACCATGCCTACACATTCCCATCCGAAATCACGGACATTCATAAATTATGAATCCATGCCTGCACATTGACTTTGGAACCATGCCTGCACATTCACCTTTGGAACCATGCCTACACATTCACTTTGGAACCATGAGATTATGAATTTTCTATTATAAGATTATGAATTTTCTGTTATGAGATTATGAATTTTCAGTTATGAGATTATGAATTTTCTGTTATGCGATTATGAATTTTCTGTTATGAGATTATGAATTTTCATTACATTCATAATTTCGGACATTCATAAATTATGAATTCATGCCTGCACATTCACTTTGGAACCATGCCTACATATTCCCGTCCGAAATCACGGACATTCATAAATTATGAATCCATGCCTGCACATTCACTTTGGAACCATGCCTACACATTCACTTTGGAACCATGAGATTATGAATTTTCTGTTATAAGATTATGAATTTTCTGTTATGAGATTATGAATTTTCAGTTGTGAGATTATGAATTTTCTGTTATGCGATTATGAATTTTCTGTTATGAGATTATGAATTTTCGTAAAATTCATAATCTCATAACAGAAAATTCATAATTTGATCAAACGCGCGCCGTTAACTCCACATCCGCGATTTTTATTTATTTATTTTTGCCTAAAAACGACGTCGTTTTGCCTTGTGTTCACCATTCTCGGTGAACACGATTCCATGGCATAATTTGCGCAAGGATATCTCCCCTAGCAATTGCTGCTTCTACTCATCCAACTACAACTTGTATTCTTCCAAAAGGCTGAACCCCAACCCTAAGGCCCCCCCACACCCCGGCCCACTACAACTTGTACTGCATGCATAGATGAGCGTTCACTTTCATTGTATGCTGGTGGTTATGCTAGTTTTTTTTTTTTTATTTTATTTTATTATTTTTATGCTATTACCTTGTGTTTACCTACAAATTGAGCTAATTGTACAAATTTAAAAAAATTAAGACTTAATTGCATACAAGTAAAGAGATGAAGGGCTTAATTGAATCTTTTGTTAATTTATGAGATTAATTGTACTTTAGTTTATAGTTGAAGGGTCTATTTGACCTTTATCCCTATACTAGTATTTTTTATGCGCGATACGCAAAAAATAGGTGCCCAATATTAATACATTATATTAAAATTTTAAATTTATTTAGATTTTAGATATTTAAATTATTCTAAATAATAATAATAATAATAATAATAATAATAATAATAATAATAATAATAATAATAATAATAATAATAATGTAAATCATTTTTATAAATTTGATATTTATATTTATGTAATAAGTAACATATAACTCAAATATTTAATGTGTATATATTATTATTAATGAAGAAGATAAGAAAATATATGGTGGATGCATGTGCATGGTAATAATAGTGGAAAAGATAACGAAAGTTATAACGGTAGGGGTATGTTTGTCTAAAATATTTGAATGTACAACCTTTATAGCATAATATACAAAAAAAACTTAACGAAAAAAATGGATATAAATCAGGGTATAACTTTCATTCACACTTATTATGTTTTTATTTAGATTATATAAGAGTTTATTACCGAAATGGTCCCTTGACTATTGTGAAATTATCAATTTGGTCCTCGACAATTTTTTTTTATCCAATTAAGTCCTCGACTTTGAAAATGTTAACCATTTTAGTCCTCCGTTAGGTTTGAGGTTAAAAATCTGTTTATGGGAGGGTATTAATGGAATTTCGGCCATTGAAATAGGAAAATAATATAAAAATAATAATTCAAGAACAAATATCCGATCTTTCAAACTCAGAAACGATGAAACCCTAGAATTGCTAGTACAAAAGCTTATGCGAAGTAGAATAAAGAGGAAAAGTGAAATATCGAATTGAGGTAGTACAATAAAACAGAGGCACAGAGCTGGTCGAGGCTTAAAGCGTTGAATCACAGAGATGCCATGGACAAGAAGCTCAATCGCAAGAAAACTGATTTTTTTATTCCTTTCTTTTTTGGGGGTTTTGCCCCTGATTTCCTAAGTTTAATTCCAGAAAAATCCCCGAAGCTAATTTTTTATTTTCACTGTCGGAGCTCAAGAAAAATTCTTGATTTTTATTATTTATATAATTCTAATGCAAAAAGTTTTTTTTTTTTTTTTTTAAACAATGCAAATAGTTAAATATACTAAAAGTCCATACTCTATCGCATGCTTTGAGGCTTGAGATGAGGTGACATTGCAACGAGGGTAGTGAGATGGGTTCAACAAGTCAGTGAATCTGAAGTTGTTTGTTTGGAAGTTGCGACTTTGCTTGCTACAAGCAATGGTCTGAATCTGAAGTTTCTCGCAAGAGGATGTCGCTACCTGCCTTCGTCTTTTCCTTCCCTTCCCCTGCTTCTCGCTCTCTCAATTTTCACAAGATTCGTTTCTCCTTTCCCCTTCTCTAGGTCTAATCTTCGGCCGTTCACCCCTTTTTCTTTTTTCAATGTTTTTGGCTTTCTTCTCCTCTGCTATTATGTAGCTTGGTGTTGTGGTTAACAGGTCATCGGAGCCAAGCTTTTCGTTTTTCCGATCGTCGTAGAACATTTTTCTGTTTTGGACATACCCTCCTAAACGTGCAACAATGGCGTAGAAAAACCGATGACTTAATTGGGTAGAAAGGCGAAATTCCATTAATACCCTCCCATTTAACAGATTTTTAACCCCAAATTTAACATAAGACCAAAATAGTTAACATTTTCAAAGTTGATGACTTAATTGGGTAAAAAAAATTGTCGAGGACTAAATTGATAATTTCACAATAGTCGAGGGACCATTTTGGTAATAAACTCATTATATAATTTTATATGGACTAATATTAATATTACTTCGTATTTCTTTGGCTCATTTTTCTTTGTACCTCTCCATCCTTCCTAATCCTCCAACTCGTTTTTGTTTTTTTGCCTCCCCAGTCCCCACCCTTCTCTTTATTCGTCTTATCCCCTTCCAAGCCTTCTCTACCACACAGAGCTCTAAATGCTGTCTTTTTTTTTTTTTTTTTTCTATCTCCGCATATTCGCCACTCTGCCCTTCTTTCTAACAACATCGCAGATCTAAAGATTTGCGCCTTTGCAGATTGTATCTCCGCTTCTTTGCCATTCTCTTTAACTGCCTCATAGATCTGCGCATCTTATAAGCTAGGAGTCACAAATCTAGGTATCTTTCTTCATCTCCTTGTTGTCTCTCGCAGTTATCCTAGTCAATTTCTTCTCTTTTGTGAATTCCTTTGTATCCATCGTCTTGTAGTTTCGCTGATCTACACTCTCTCGTCTTGCGAAATTAGGTCAATTACATGTATTCAATACAAGAAGCGATTGTTTTCTTCTGTTAGCTCTTGCGAGATTTTACTTCTATTGATTGGATCAAGTGTTTGAAGGTAAATTTTATCTATATTTCTACTTTTTGGTGGTAAATTTTCTTTATGTTTTTCAATTGTAATGTCCCTTTGCTTGGTTGGAGGATATATTCAACAGGTTTTGTGAAGTGTAACTAAATTGCTTTAGTGGCCTCACTTCTTTAGATATAAAACATGTTAGACAAAAAAAAAAACAAATTTTCTTTGTCCAACCACAAAAAAGAACCTCAAAATTATTTTTTGTTTTGATAAGAGTACTTAGACAAATAAAAAATAGTTTGGCCAAATCTTTATATACATATAAATACCAACCAAAAACATAATTTATACATATAAATACCATCCTAAAACACAATCCAAATATCCCGCCCAAAAATCTCTCTATAGGTCATATATGATGTTAAACAGTTTGAGCCAAAATGTAGTTCCACCCAAAGCAAAAACATAATGCCATATAATATAAATAACAACATGACACTTGGCTTTTGGGTTTTGCTTTTGGGCTAGATCCTTTTTGGCCCAATTGCTTAATATCATAAAGTACATCCAACAACAGTAGAGAACCTAATTTAACATAATAAAGTGCACCTAACTTTAACATTAATTGTAACCAAATGTGAAAGCTAATTGCACTTAGGGTTCACCTTTTTAAACTTTAAGGTTTAGTTTTTTATATTTGGTTTTAGGATTCAAGTTTTACTATTTAGAAATTTAAGAGTTTAAAGTTTATGGTTTAACTTTGGATTTAGTTTTTTTTTTTTTTTTTTTTTTTTTTTTTTTCGTTTAGTTTTATCCACAAATACATTGTATAGTTATACTTGTATAATATAGTGTTGAAAATTGCACTTTATAGTGTTGTTAATTGCACTTTAAAATTTGAATTATTTACAAAAAGGTCACCACGTTTTTTTCCCTATAATTGATTATGATATGTTAGATCTTTCCATTTAGATGACTCTAATTAGTTCCTAGTTTTTTCATGTGTGTTTTCACAGGCGTGTGCATATATATATATATATATATATATATATATATATATATATATATATATATCAAACATAAAAATAAGAAGAGGATTGAGTTAAGTACTTTTAGGAGCTAAAGAAGAGTTCGAAGTGAATGAATTTAGTGTGAAAATGTAGAGATTTTGCAAAAAGGAGTTTTCATTGATATCTGTGGAATTTGTATGATGATTTCTACAAAGAGCTTATCAATCTATTTATACAAAGAAGAAAAAGACCTTAGAAGTCCTAACTTTACTCTCTATTTGTACAGTATCTATAGGAGTGAGGAGATAAGAGCGGATTTTATCTCATAAATATTAGAGATAAGAACCTTATCTCTAAAAAAAATGTAAGTTGAAAGGGACAGACCTCCTTTCTTTAGCCATAAAAATTTTCAAGAGTTTTGGCAAGTCATCTTTGTTGAAATTTGCTAGTTCTTTTCCAACTTGTCAAAAGTTTGGTTGATTGGCTAAAGAAAAGGGGTCTATCTCTTTCAACTTTATTAAGATATCTTCTTATCTCTAGCATTAGATCTTGAAGAGATAAGATTCCTTCTTATCTCTTTCCTTCTGTAAATAATAGGATAGTTGTAAAGTAGATATTCTAGGTTCTTCTTCTTCCTTGTATATATATGAGCTCCTTGTAAAGGTAGGATATACGAACACCTTACTAGAAATCAATGAAAATACGCTTTTACATCCCCTCTCTATTATCACACTAAACTTCTTAACTCTCAACTCTTCCTATTGTTCTCAAAAGGTATAATTACTTAACTTAATCTTTTTACTTTATATTAGCTCTTATTCTTATATCTGATCATACATATCTTAGTTCAAAAAAGGGAAGCCCTACTTGAGTCGAAGCAACCCCTACCTAAAAAAGAGTCATAGATGTTGTTAGGGTTGTAGACAGAGAAATTTGGTAGTAGGTTTGGGGTGAAAAAAGGGTCATAGATGTTGTTAGGGTTGTAGACAGAGAAATCTGGTAGTGCGGGTATGTGGTGCATTTAGAAGTGATATGTTGTGCACTTTGTAGTAACCTCTGGTGCACCAAAAAGTGATAGTCTGTGGAAATCTGGGTTTGTAGTTCATATATCTAAGTGCATTATAAAGCATACCTAAGTGCATCATTAAGTATAGTTAAGTGCACCAACAAGCATAGCTAAATGCACCAGCCATTACAGGAAATATTTGTGGCCCTTGTTACACTTAGGAGTGGTCTATGGTGCACTTATGAGTGGTTTGTGGTGCAGTTAGGGTGGAGGCACTACCAAGCATATGTAAATGTATCAGGTCGCACGACTGCATGGGAAGGGTCGGTCGCACTTGAACTAGGATATATATATATATATATATATATATATATATATATATATATATATATATATATATATATATATATATTCTGGTCATATGATAATCACTCTCCTTCTAAGAACTTGGACGAAATTTTGATGTCCATTTATTAGATCTAACAGTAGAAAATAAGCTAAAAGAATAGATTGGATCAATTTTATAATATTACAAATTTTGAAGTTTGTAAAAATTAATGAAATTGATCCCATTTTTTCCTTCAATTTAAAACCGTTAGATACAAACTTATTAAAAGCGCTCGCTTCTGCGATTAAAGCGCAAAAGCGAGGCGAGCGATGGCAGATCGCCTCGCCTGCGCAAGGCGCATCAGCGTGAGAAAGCGTGCGCTTGAATGCGCTTTTTCGGCGAGGCAATGAAGCGACGAAGCGGCGAAAAGCGAGGCTTTACCATGCAAAGCGCAAGTCAACGGTCAAAAAAGAAAAAAAACCACGAACAAAATAAAAAAGGACGATTTGCAAAACCCTTCACCGCCTCTACTCACTGTCTCACCCCTTTGCTCACCTTCACCGCCTTCACTGAGAGACATGGCTGCCCTCGTGAAACCCTTTTGCCTCACGCCCTCACCTCATTTCAACATCTGGAAACCCTCTGTTCTGCGCCTTTGCTCACTGCCTCACCCTCACCGCATGTCATCGTTGTCGCTAACCTTCGTCGTCGGCGTCGCTGCTGCCTCGCCTGCCCTCACAAAATGTGCCTGAGGTAAATCGCTGCTTCTCACGCTTTTTTTTCTCTTCTTACGATGAATGAAGAAGATGACTGAAATGTTAAAATAGAGTTGGAGACTTGGAGTCTTACTCTTGGTTGGACACTTGGCAGTAGGCAGTACTAAGTAGCATTTATTGTTAACACTAATAATTTCATCTAGGAATTTATCAGCAAATTCAATTGTTCTTTGAATTGGTATAATTGTTCCATTCCAAATAAATTTCATGCCCTAAAAATCTTATTGTTTGTTGGTATAATTTTAATTTTGGTTCTAAAATGACTAACCCAAAAATTTTTACTAGTTTAAAAAATAGAGTGGACTTAGGTCCACCTTGCAAGGTGGACCTGGGTCCAAAATGACGTCGTATTCGTACAAAACGAAGCCATCTTAGTTGTAAAATAAAATTTCACTTATTATTATTATTATTATTATTATTATTATTATTATTATTATTATTATTATTATTTGATTTGATGGCGTTAACTTTTGTTATCTTGTTTTCTTCATCCCTAATTTCTTCGCTTTTTTTTTTTTTTTTTTTTTGTCTTTGCATCTTTGATTTCTCTTTTTGATTGAAATTGTATTCTTCTTCTTTGTATCTTCGATTTAATGCGATTGAGCTCTTCTTCTTGACCAGAATTTTGATTTTGTTGATGGAGGAGGCAACAGATCAGACAGAATTGAACATTGATGGCTTGTCTTCAGTTCCAGGTTCTTTTTTTATTTTGATTTTTATAGTCAAAGATTGATATAAATATTAATGATTTGCCAATTTTTCGGCGGGTATGGAGATGCATTAGCAATTCGATTTTATTTTTGTGTTCTAAGTGTGACGAATTTGCTGTTAGAATTATGATGATTTATTCATGTTTGTGTGTTCAATATTTGAATGTGTGATTTACATTGATTATTGACAATATATGTGGTTTTGGTGAATCTGGATTGACGATTTTCTACTTTTATATACTTGTTTTGAATTGCGTTATTCATTTTTTTTTTTAATGTTTTTGTATTCTTTTTTTTAACGTATATTTTATGTATTATTATTATGAACATTAAGCACTGTGTTTGTGATTCCGAAGTGAAGTGTATTTGTCAATATTCTTATTGGGTTTTGTCTGGTTATGCCATTATGAGTGTATTTTGTGTATTTTTAGCATTAATTTTGTTAATATTCTGTATTGATTTTATGTATATGTAACAGAGTCACAGTGGACATATTTTATATTTATTTGCTCATTTATAAGTTGTGTCAATTTGATAGAAATGTTATTCTTTAGTAGAGCATGGTTGTATTTATTTTGCAATCCCTATTCCCTCTACTTAGAAATTATATTTTCATCAAATTGATTTTAATTTTTTTGGTGGTTATCCTTTGTTATACCTGATGTTATATTTTATATTTGCAGTCGATCAAGATTTGGTGGGTGTTTCAGTAAGTAATGTTGATGAAGCTTACAAGTTGTATAACGATTATGCTTATAGAGTTGGTTTTAGTGTGAGGAAGGGTAAACAACGTTATAAGGGCTCTACTAATACAGTTAAAATGAAGAGATTTTATTGTTCTAAGGCTGGTCATAAGGTTAAGGTAAACCCTGGTGTTAGGTCTTATTCAAAAATTGATTTAAGAACGGGGTGTGGTGCGTTTGTTCAGTTTGATGTAGATGGGAACGGGGTGTGGACAATTACGAAACATGAGAAAGGGCATAATCATGAGTTATGTCCTTCAGACAAGAGTCATTTACTTCGTTCACATAGAAAAGTGGGAAAGAATCAGCTTTCATATCTAAAAGATTTGAAGAGGAGTGGAGTTGCATTGACGGATGGTGTTAGGTTTTTGACACAGCAATCAGGGGGGTCTCCATTTGTTGGTTTCACCAATCCAGATGCTTTTAATTCTCTGTCTTATGATTCATTGAAGAGTTTGGATGGAACTGATTCCAATTCTTTAATTGAAATATTTAGGAGGAGGCAGTGTAATGAATCTGATTTTTTCTTTGATTTCGAAGTTGATGCTGATGCAAGATTATGCAATTTTTTTTGGAGGGATGGTCAAATGAGACGAGATTATGAGTTGTTTGGAGATTTGGTAGTGCATGATACAACATATCGCACTAACAAATCCAATATGATTTGTGGTCCTTTTGTAGGGATGAATCATCATTGCATGAATGTAATGTTTGGATGTGGTTTTTTAATGAATGAGAGAATAGAATCATTTGTGTGGTTGTTTAGAGCATTTTTAAGATCTATGGGTGGTAAGTATCCACAATCTATTATGACGGATCAATGCGCGACTATGGCTGCTGCTATTTCTCAAGTTTTTCCAACATCACGTCATCGTCTTTGCATATGGCATATTAGTGAGAATTCAAAGAAACATATCAAGACATTAAGGAATAATAAGGATTTCTTGGATTTATTTAACTGTTTGTTGAAATACACGGATACCGAAGCTGAGTTTGAATTTTATTGGACAAGGTATGTCTTTTCATTTATGTTATGAATTTGTTGTGTTAAATTTATGTTATTGTAGTGTTCAATTTATGATCAATGTGCAAGAGTATGATTTGTGGATTTTATTCATTCATTTTGTGTATCTATAGTATTGGAATTGTGTTCATTCAATATTAGTTTTGTGAGCATGTATTGGAGATTTGGTAATCTTATTTCTTGTTGAACTTTTTTTTTTCTTTCATATGCCTTAGTGATTGTTTTGATTGTTTCTTATTATGTTTTATATAAACTTTCAGGATGGTGACAGAGCATAAGTGTCATAAGAATGTTTGGTTAGAAAAACTTTATGATTGTAGGGAGAAGTGGTGTCCAGCATTTAGTAAGGATTATTTTTCTGGGGGTATTTTATCTTCCCAAAGGAGTGAAACTACAAATCATTCGATTTCTAGAAGGCTATCAAAAACAGTTGGGCTTTGTGATTTCTATTCTTCTTTCATTAGTATTGTTTCTGAATGGAGAAGTAAAGAAAACGGGGAAGATTTTCGTTGTGCTCAAGGTGTACCTAATATGGTCACAGAACATGTGAAACTTCTTTCACATGCTAGAGAGGTATATACTATTGAAATATATTTTTTGTTTGAGGAGCAATTTTTGAAAGGCACCGCATGTCATCAAGAATGTGTTTTGAATGATGGTTATCAGTACAAGTATCATGTGTGGCGTCCTGATATAGATGTTATAAGGCATGAAGTTAGTTTTAAGTCCACCGATTTGGATATTTGTTGTAGTTGTAAGTTGTTTTCTGAAGTGGGAATTCTTTGCTGCCATTGCTTACGCATTTTGAATGTACATTGTGTTAGTACTATTCCTGATAAATACATTCTAAAAAGATGGACTAAAAAGGTTATTGAAGGTAGAACTGTGAACATTGCTTCTTTGTCATATAATGTTGGTGTTGCTTCTTCCATTTGGGTTGTTGAGATGATTAAGAAATTTCAAAGATTGATTGTTGCTAGTCAAGATAACGTTGTAGCTAGACAGATTTGTGAGGAAGCTTTTGAAAATGCAAAGAAAAGAATTGAAGCTGAGGTTGGTCATGTGCATATTGAAGAGTTTAATGTTTCATCTTCAAGTGGTATTGTACAGAATCCTTCAAGCCAGAGATAGAAAGGTGGGCGTAACAAAAGATGGAATAGTATTATTATTCAGAAGAAGTATATTCTTGCAAGAGGGCGAAGGAGTTATGCAAATACGGTTGCTTCAAATACAAAGAGCTTTATTCAATCTTTAGCTTTTGAAAGTCTGTATTAGATTGCCTGAGAGGATATCTTGTACATCCAGGTTCTAGGAAGTCACAGTTAGTTTATTTTAATAAGAGTTTAATTGACTATGTAGTTGTAGATTGACATTGTGTTTGTATAATTGCTCTTATGAATTAAGCTTTAAATACATTAACCTTTTATAATTGTTTTTTTTTTTTTTGGGCATATATGATATTTGTTGTGGACTTACAATCTGTTTTCTACTAGATGTTGTAAGATGTTGTTAATCTTTTTGTATTTATTTTATGGTTTTTCTATGATCGATGGTACTATGTTTAGTGTTCATAGTTTTTGTGCTTCATGATCATAATACCAAACTTATAAATACATAATATATTTTTGTTTTTATGCATAGTTTGTCATAAATTAAGAAGTTTAATTACACAATTGTTAAACTTTAAGGTGTTAGATGGATACTGTTATCCTACTTTATATGCAATCCTTAGCGTGGGAGGTGGGGGTATCTCACATCTTTCGTGAACAGAATATAGCGGTGGACCATATGGTTAAGAGGTCTTACAAGCATAATAGAGGTTTGCGAGTGTTCAATCGCCTTCCCATGTTCTTCTTGAGGACAAAAGAGGCACGTGGCTAAAGAGTACTAAGTCGGGGCTGAACCTCTCATTTTTTGAGTACCTGACTCTGTTAGAATAGAGTATCTGTGTATAAGGTAGTATCTGTTCATAATCAAAGAGACCAAAGAGTTAATACCCCACCACCGGGGTTTGATCATGTGACCTTTGGTTTGATCCTGTGACCTTTCCTTAAGGGGAACCACAGAGGTGTCATCTAAGCACAATGTGCTTGGTGAATAGACATGTTTTTAATAATGTTGATGGCAGAAATATGTATTTTTTGGGATCCCAATTTTAATTACAAATTGAAATTATATGTGGCTTCAATCTTCTTTTGATTTTTCTTCATACAAGCACTCTAAAACCTCATTTCTCTTTTGCTTTGTGGCCAACAACCCTTTTGGGACAAATAAGTAGAAGATGGAATATTCAAGGAGGTGAGTATATTAGATATTTTTCATTTCAACTCATGTAATTTTAGTACCAAATTTATTGTGGTTTATTTTGTATTTGCAATTCACTATAGTGACATTTTTTGCCCTTTATGCTTCGATCTTAAGCAAGCCTATACTTGATACTTCTTGTATTTTGTAGTATGTTTGAGTATATTTTAAATGTGTTATAGGTCCAAAAAGGCAAACTTAATTTTCATTGCAAGCCATGTCAAAGCATAAGTAATTACAGTACTAAAGGTTTTGTTAAGAAATTACTGGTGAATAATGATCCTAATGTTAAACTCATTGACGCTCAGGCTTTTTGTAGGTTATGGTATGTGGACCACAAAAATGACATCGATTCGTATAATTTTTTTTCACACAACCTACTACAATATACATTTTTATAACTTATAATATACATTATTCTAAAGTATAATGTACATTATTCTAACTAATAAAGTATATTATCTTACCTTAGAAATTTCATATTCTAACACATAAAATACATTATTCTAACTCATAAAATTCAACGACGTCGTTTTGGACCGTGGTCCACACAATAATTTGCCAAAAATTTCTTTGCTTACTAGAACATGACCGGACGACCTAAACCAACCTTTTGTTTTAGACGACCTCAATCAGGTATAAAATTTTCTCTTTTAATTGTCTTGATTTTAGGAGTTTCAGTTGGTCGAGACTCATGCACATGTACTAATGTCATTGTTAGGAATATAGCAGAATAATGCGGAAACGAAGAATCGAAAATTGAGAATTATAGAAGTTAAAAGAATAGGAAAAATATATAAATGACAAGATTAGGAAATTAGTGAATTGGGAAAATATAAAATAAATAAGTAAATAAATAATATATATATATATATATATATATATATATATATATATATATATATATATATATATACTACGTGGTGTGGTGAAAGAAAAGAAAGCAAAATGCTTAGGAATGAATTCAAATTGATGTGTTTACAAGACAAGAGCTTAGCCTATTTATACACTCAAAAAAGGAGAAATAAGTGGCATTAACATTGAGGACGTGCGCATGCAGAACGTGCAACATAGAGAATGGCGGCAAATGTGTAGTCTTGCCAAAGAATTTGATCTACAATTCTGACAATTTCCACCTTGGATCAAATTTATTGTGGAAATTAACAATTGGAACAACCGACTAAACTCAAGCACTGCTTGAACTTAGCAATATGAAGAACCTCAGAATAACAGGATGGATCAGTATCAACCTCCTATGTGACTGAGAGAGCATAAGCAACCAAGTTGGTTTCATCATCACCAGCATACCTAGCAGGTTTTTTAATTGTCCTCCTAGGACGATCTAGCAATGGAATACTCTCGTTGTGGCTCGACGAGAGGTGTTGTGCTAGTAGATGCATCATCTTCAGTATTACCATCAGCAGTAGTAACACTATCAATAGGCCTGAACTCAAACTCCACCTTCTCACCAGTACTCTGTGTCTCACCTGTACTGGGAACTTTTCCAGAAGAAAGTAGTGCATTTTCATCAAAAGTGATATCTCGACTTAAAATGATTTTCTGAGAATCAGGAGACCAAAGACGATACCCTTTTGACTCAGAGGCATAACCAATGAAAATGCATTTGACAGCTCTTGGGTTTAATTTACGCGTACTGGAATGAGCATATGCAGAACATCCAAAAACTCTTAAGATAGAGTAGTCAACAGGATGACCTGACCAAACTTCCTCTGGAATTTTGAAATCAAGGGATGAATGTGGAGATCTATTTACCAAATAGCAAGCAGTAGAAACGGCCTCGGCCCAAAAATCACGCCGTTTCCATAACCCAGCATTAGAGAGCATACAAAAAGCTCTTTCCAATAGAGTCATGTTCAAACGTTCGGCAACACCATTCTGATAGGGTTTACCAGGCAAGGTCTTGTGCCTAACGATTCCATTTGCCGCACAGAAGTCATTGAAATCTGACTCACAGAACTCCAAGCCATTGTCTGTCCTGACCTTCTTGACTTTTTTACCTGTCTGAGTCTCAACAAGTATTTTCCACTTCTTGAAAATAGAAAATGTCTGATTTTTATGTTTCAGGAAATAGACCCAGACTTTATGAGAAAAGTTATCAATAATAGACATAAAATATCTACAGCCTCCCATAGACTTGAATTTAGTCGGTCCCCATAAATCTGAATGTATATATTCCAATACATCTTTGGTACGGTGTGTAGCAGTAGAGAAACTAACCCTCTTTTGTTTTCCAAAAACACAATGCTCACAAAATTGTAATTTACCCGTACCTGAACCACCAAGGAGGCCTTTCTTGCTCAGGAGATGCATGCCTTTCTCACTCATATGCCCCAGACGCATATGCCATAATTGAGTGAGATCCGCATCATACATCGATGAGGATACCGCTACTGAACCTGTCACGGTACTGCCATCCAAGACATACAAGCTTCCAAAACGAGAAGCATTCATGAGAATAAGAGAGCCTTTTATGACCTTCAGAACTCCACCTTCAGCTATGTACTTGCACCCCAGAGATTCCATGGTGCTCAAAGATATCAGATTGCGTTTCAAATCAGGAATATACCGAACATTGGTAAGAGTCCTGTTAACGTTATCATGAGTTTTAATCTGCACACTTTCAATTCCACTAACCTTGCATTGGGTATCATTACCCAGCAAGACAACTTCACCATCAACCGGTTTCAGAGAGACAAACCAGTCTTTGTGAGGACACATGTGGAATGTACAACCAGAGTCCAGAATCCACTCGGTTTCACTCCGTTTGCAACCTGAGCTAACAAATAACATAACATCGCCTTCTGAATCACTTTCAACAACACTAGCTTCAGCGGACTTCTTTTCTCTCTCTTGCTTGTTTTTCAACTTGAAGCATTCAATCACATCGTGACCCAGCTTCTTGCAGTACTTACAGGATTTGTTGGACTTACGTCCTTTGGACTTGGATCTAGAATTTTTACTGCTAGTCTTTGTTTCAAGTGAACGACCCCTTAAGGTCAAGCTTTCACCTTCGTTCTCAGACTTAATTTCAAAGTCAAACTTTTCTTTGGACAATAGGTTTGACTTAACACTATCGAAAGTAAGGGTATCACTACTATTACCATATAGCATAATTTTTTTGCAATGCTTGTATGATTTAGGGAGAGAGACAAGCAATAAAACAGCACGATCCTCATCTTCAATTATGACATCAATATTCTCCAAGTCCAACAAAATAGAATTGAATTCATCCAAGTGATATTTAATAGAAGTACCTTCCGCCATACGGATTGTGTACAGACACTCCTTCAGGCGTAGCATGTTTGCCAGAGTTTTGGCCATGTAAAGCGTATCCAGCTTGGACCATAAATCTGACGCAGTCGTCTCACTTACTACCTCACGTAGAACCTCTTTAGACAGGCACAAAAGGATAGTTGAACGTGCCTTGTCATCCAAATCTTCTCAATCTTCATCTGTCATTGTAGTCGGTTTTTTCTTCTTCCCAGCTAGCGCTTTCTTCAAACCGTTCTGGGTTAGAACGGCTTCCATCTGAACCTTCCAGATAGAAAAGCTAATTTTCCCGTCAAACTTCTCGATATCGAACTTGGTAACAGTCGACATCTTTGAAAATAATTCTCAATTAAACCGCTCTGATACCACTTGTTAGGAATATAGCGGAATAATGCGAAAGCGAAGAATAAAAAATTGAGAATTATAGAAGTTAAATAATAGAAAAAAAATATAAATGATAAGATTAGGAAATTGGTGAATTGGAAAAATATAAAATAAATAAATAAATAAATAAATAAATAAATAAATAAATATATATATATATATATATATATATATATATATATATATATATATATATATATATATATATATATGGAAGGGATCAGGTGCATTTGTTGCTTCCCGTGCGGATGTGTAGTGAATTAATGTGCGTGAGGTTTATACTTAATGTGCGTGAGATTTGTACTCAATGTGCCTGAAATTTGTACTTAATGTGCGTCTCATGTTAATATGAGTGAGTTTTGTACTTAATGTGCCTGAGTATTGTGTTTAATGTGCGTGAGATTTGTGCTTAATGTGCGTGCGTATTTCAGAATTACGAGCTCAGAAGAA